ACGCGTGAGCGAAAGATTCTTTGCATTTTTGCAAATAATTTTTGTGAACTGTGTATTTTCATTTTTTACCGGATGCTTACTCTCTTGTATTTAAAAAAATAAGTATTTTATCTGGGTCATTTGAATTGTTCTTGTATATTGTCGGGAGTAAAGATGAATAACAATAGGAAAAGCAAAGGCTTTGAATTGAATTCCAGATCGAAATTTCAAAATTGCATGAGAGCGTGATATAAGTTTTAATTCGTTCCCATGTGAAAACAGAAACTCATAAATGTAATCGACGGTGATTGGATTCGATTGTTTTTCTGTTAGCAAAAAAACATTCTGTATTGTCCAGCTTTACATGAACAAATTATGTTGTTGATTTTACAATATTTTTTCTTAAAAGTTTAAAATGCCAGTAATTTTTGCAGGACAATGTATGCATTTACGTTTGATATTTTACTTGTGATTAAACAAAATAAAATTAGAATTGTATTAATAAATCTAATTTTCTTTATTTTCATCACACATCATCCTACATGAAAGTCGTCTTATATGCGAGTAAATACGGTATATTGTTTGTAAATTTAAGAAAAGTATATTAATACACATTTGACACATACACACACAAATAAAATATATATATTTAATAATTTTAAGTGTATTTGTAAAGAATAATCACATTTATTATGATAGGATGTGATGATAAAAACTGTAGATAGTGATTAAAAAAACCTGTGTGATAAGTATATTCTTATGATTTTTTCTTATTATATTATAATGTAATAATAATGTACGGGTATCCCTCATAAAATACGGCACTTTGATGTGGTTTTGCTCTAATGTGGTTGAAAATTGGGGATATCCCTCATACAAACAACGTCTAGTTTCACTCTAACATGGTTTGGGAAATCCTCTGTACAAAATTTCATAATTTTAAAGTGTAAACTCCGTTATTCAATATTTTTTAAATTCATGTAAGTATGCATGTTGTCTGAAATTCGCCCATGGATTTTAGAATATTCAAATTTACAATTTGTTTTGTGCCTTTCATCAGGTTCACTTTAATGAAAACTGATAGTAGAATTTTTTCTTCCTTGTCCTAGCTTTCTTATCAACCAGGTGTCATTGTCGTAGTTTTAGACTTTAGCCTTTAAGACTAATCTGTAAAAAGAAAATGCAGTGACAATCTTTGTATTTAGTAAAATTTATTGAAACATTTTTAGTCAAGTGTTATTAAACCTTTTTTAACTCTAGATATTATCTACGAATGATTACTTTATTCATAAAAATGACAAATAAAATACGGCAGTATATCAGTATTTGAACACAGATTCTGGAAAATAAATCATTCGTTAGTCAACTGAAAAACACGGCCCTCTAAAACAAATTTTTGATTAATGACATACTTTTATTTTGTCATCCATAAAAAAATTATGATAAAATTAAAAAAATGAAGATGTCGCTGATATTTCTGATCAAGATCAACAAAAAAGTTCAATAGATGACAATATTTTGTAAAAAGAAAAAGCCCTTATTTAACTAAAATTAATATTAACACATATAGTACTTTTAATTTTGATTGTTAGTTAATTATTGATTGCTTTCATAAACATATTTCTCTTAGTAATGATAATATATGTTAACTTCTGAAATCTGACTCCATGTTTTGTATTAGTCCTTTATTTCATATAGCACAGGTTTGCATAACAGAGCACTTTTTGGGAACATAACTATTGTGTTATAGGAGAGATACCTGTATAATAAAAAACTGCATTATAAGTATTTTATTCTAAATGATTCTGTTGTAATAATCTTTACTAGATAATAAACTAAAAATCTACAAGAAGGAAAAAATAACACTTTTATTTCATATTTCTATTTATAAATATATATTTTGCAATAAAAAGTCAATAACTAGAAAATTTTTATTCATTTATATAATAGCCATCTAGTTATAATTAAAATTGGTGAAAATAAGTTATTAGAATCACATGATTCATTATGTGATAAATGCTACATTTTATGTATTATTGAGTTTTTCATGTGAAATAAAGAAATTTTAAAATGAAATTTGTTACTATATAAGTTAAAAAGTTATAATAAAATATAAGTTATATGTTCATAACTTGATTCAAAAATGATAATAATGATAGAAAATTTTTTGAAAGATTCATAAATAAATTAGAAATTATCATAATTTTTAGTTCAGTTGAAAATTTATAAACTCATGAGTGAGTCTAGCATGCAAGTCCACTAGTAATCAGTTTGTATATGTATAAGGCCTCAAACAACTTTAGATGTTCAATGTATGGTGTGCTGTTAGTAATTCTCGCTTGGCTAAAGTTTGGTTCTATCTCAGGATCACTAGCATAAATACTTAGAGCTGTGGTGGTCCTGGCGTTGTACATCTGTGATGTGCTCTTTTACTCTAATGCTCAAGGAATGCTTCGTAGAGACAATGTAGCAGAGCTCTCTATCGCATCTGTGATCTTTTATTGGGATGTTGTAGATTCCTGGGAGTCTATCCCTGCTAGGAACGTCCTTTCCATTGCGTAGGAAGTCATAAATGGTTGGACACCTTCTATATGTGATGTGAATGTGGCGTTTCCTAGCTATCTGTGTAAACAGTGATTGAAGATACGGGTTATAAGTGACCAGTATCCTTTCTTCCTCTTGTCAGTCTTTGTTAGTAATCAGTGTTAATATGCTATGAGAAGTAGAATATTAAAATAATAAACAAGAATGATGCAATTACAAATGAAACACAGAATTTAATAGGAATATATTTGATATTCAAAATTTTTTTAGATTAAATAATTTTTAAGACTTTTCAGCAATTTATTTTAATTGAAAGATTGCTTTAAATTAAAATAAAAATAAGAATAAAAACATAGAGTATATAATTCTTGGAATATTAGTGATAAACTCATCTTAAAAACAGATTGTAAAATTAACTTAACTGTTATTATCAATATTACAGCTATGATCTTATAAATACTCAGTCCTTAATATGATTGGAATTATTCTTTGCAACTTTGGAATCTTCTCATATTGTCTAGATTGTCAAATGTAGCTATGTAATACATGTACACTAGAACCCTGATGTTCTATGTTATCTGAGGCAAACTTGTAAGTGAATATACTGCTTTTCTTATATTGTACTTCATAAAAGAAGGTTTAAAACAATAACATGCGTTACATAATGGTTTGTTTCTGTTACCTTTTATCATTTAATTTTAGTTTGAGATAAATAATTCATGTTAAAATATCAATCACATTGTATGTGTTAGTTATATAATAAATGATGTAAACATTGTTGATATTTAAGTGAATTTAATTATATATAAGTATAAAATGAGGCTTAAAAGTGAAATATCTTGTAAATATTTGAAATTTTTAACCCAGAATGGTAATTTATTTTATCTGCGTTTTCAGTTATCCAAGGTAGCATGGTCCACATTATCTCAGATAATTGGCATTCTAATGTACTTTTCAATTTATGAACATGATTCATTCCTCAGAGTTGTTTATTATAAATTATTTTTACACCTTTTAATTACTTATGAAAATAAAAATAATTACTAGTGATGTAACGAATATTCGGTTACTATTCGGTATTCGGCCTATTCAGCCTATTTTTCACTATTCGGCCAAATACCGAATATTTAATCACTATTCGGCCGAATACCGAATACTTAAAAACAGGATAAATAAATAACAAAAACATAGTAAATTAATCATTTTGGTATTTAGATTTAATGTTATCGAGTTAGTGTTGTTTGTTTATATTTATTTATAACTTGTAACATGCACAAAATAAAAAAGAAAATAATATTAGTCACATGTATTCAGAATTTATAATTACTGTACAAATATCAGCACACGTACACGTCTATCGTTGGAGAATCCTCGCACATCTGAGGATCTGACCCTGCCTATCCTTCTTTTTAAGCGCTCGTCTTTGCTCTTCCCTTTCTCTTTCCTCTTCGCTCTAATCCATGTATACTTGTGCATACATCATAATACGCGCTCACGATACTTTCGATTCTTCACTTTTCCGTCCTAGAGTTCCCATTTTACAATTACGTGACTTCAGCCTGGTGATAACGGAAAAAAGAGACGGATAGGACGTCGCTATAAGTCACAGTTATGATTTCACAGATTCGAGACAGCTTGATAGCCCGAACGGCCCCAGGCTTTCGCCCATGCACGCTAAGTGACTTACATTACAAGCATTTAGCTTTCCGAAGACTATGACAACAATTGTTTGGCATTGACGGCCGCAAATTTCGTGCCAATAAGCTGCCTTGACTTGTTCGATTATGTTATCGACTCAATTTCATATTTATTTTTACATTTTTACTTCACGCTTCTTCTCTGTTCTTTTTCCGTTATTTACACGTGTAGGTCATTTCATTGTTATCCACATTTGATATCATCATTTATCACATACTTCCATGACACTCTTGTCTGTCCGCTACAACTGCCAAGAATTAACGCGATTGGCGAAGCGTAGTGACAGCGAGCAAACAGAGAGCAGGATCCTTGCCATAATGCGGTTTGCGCGCCAATTTTCGTACGTGCGTTAATCAAGCCGAATAGTTTGGCCGAATATTCGGCTATTCGGCCACGCTCCTGGCCGAATATTCGGTATTCGGCCTGAGGCTGAATATACTATTCGTTACAACACTAATAATTACTTGTATTTACTGTTAATAAGCTTTTATCCATCAATAATTTTATTATCTGATTCAAGATCACAAGTTTTACATAAATAGATTGCAAAGATTAGTTTCTTTTTTTCATTAAAAATTTTACTGTAAATCCTAGGCCAGAAGCAAGGAATTTGTTGCCTTTTGTGACTTCTAATATAGCCTGATCAATATAAAATGTATAATATAAGAAAATTTTTTGACACCCCTTCTTCACATTTTAGAAATATTAACTAAACAATTACTTTCAAACAAATAGTATATTTTTTATGATATTTTTGGTCATTTTACTTCATTATTATAATGTATGCTATGCATGCTGAATGTATGAATTTATGCTCCCAGCAATATAACAAGCAGTCTTATTAGATCCTTTTGAAATAGGATGTTGCTTATTAAATTTTTTTTTTTTTTATTTCTGTGCTAGACAATTGAAGGATCTGTTACAATTAAACTTGTTTTTATGATGATTGTTATAGCAAAGGTTTATCAATTTGCTATCAATAGTAGTGCTATTAATGCAATTTTGAACTGTAGCTGTATATTTTGCAATCTTCTCTGATTCCTTATCATTTGATTTCTATCTCTTGATGTTGTGTTATCTATTATTGACAATTTTCTTTTCAACAGTAATTATATTCAAAAGGAATTTATATCCAGGGTTGTTTTAATTTGAAAATTTCATATGATCTTAAATTCAAAATTATTATAATTTGAAAAATATCATTTATAATTCATCCACGTTACTTGCTTTTCTTTATATAAACATTGTTACTGTCAAGCAATTTCCTTTATACTGTATGTATTAATTAATGGAACTTTAGTTCAAAAATTTTTCAATGTAGATTAAAATTTGGGCATTAAAAAACATTAGAAAAGCTTTTTAGAATGTAGATTTTTCCTTTATTCTAGAAGTCAGATTGATAATTTTTTAAATTTGTATTAAAGAACTTTACTTAACCTTCGATTTCAAAAAGTTAAGATTTGGTGCNAAAATTAAAAAATGGGAGAGTCCATATAAAAAATCCTGATCGTGTAGAGGATAAAGTGCTTCATTTTATTAAAGGTGGATCTTCCAAGCTTCAGGTAGCAGTTGTTAATTTTAATTTTAATTTATATATCATTTCATATAATAAATTAGAGTTTTGTGTTTTTTTTTTCTCCTGCTCTAGTTAATAGCAGATTTTGACAAGTTTCTTCTCCTTCCAGAAGCATATTCAGAATTGATAAATAAAATCAATGGTAATTAAAAATTAATATGTGTATATATTTAACTGATATAAAAAAAAAAAGATTCAGAACTAATTTTTCTTTATAGGTATACGTATTAAGGCTGCTTCCAATGGTTTTTCCGACGATTGTGATGTAAGAAAATTTGCAATAAAATAAATATTTATTTACTGCTTATGGCTTAAAACCAAGCTTAAAAACTGTAAAAACTAAAAATATTTTTGTTTTTTAATAATGTATAAATAACATTATATCTACTCCATTACATTTTATGAAGTAATATTTATTGTTGCTGTATGTAAAATAATGTGAAGTTTTATTAATTTATTTTAGTTTCTTTTACCAGAAGAAAAATATTTTACTTTCAAGACTGAAATTGAAGAAGAGATGATGAGATATTCTCATTTAAATGGATATAGGTAATTATATACACACAAATTCTTAATATATTTTTAAGAATAACTTTTGTAAATCTTATATCTTGTGTCTGTTAATATAGCTTGTTAATATTACAAATTAAATTGATATAAATTATTTAGCACGTTATAAATTTCTTATAAATTTACTATTTAATTTTAAATTTAAATTAATATCGGGACTATAGTTGATTTGAATTTTTCATCAGTTATTTCTAATCTGATATGTTTTACTAAATAATATCACATTGACACTTGATATCAACTTTGTCAATTAGTACACAAATGTATCTTCATCTTTTGATCTTCTCTATTTCCTTAATATTATCAGAAAATTTCATTTAATTTTTATTGCTATAAAAAATTAAATTACGCTTTAAAATTGAGCGGCTTACTCAATATTTGCATATCTTAAGCAGAAACTATTGCAAATAGTGCTTAATTATTTATAACAGGGCTTCTTAAACTTTTTTTATTCATGACCCCATTTATGATTGTGATTTTTTTCGCGCCCCCCAATATATATATATATAAAAAAGATGTATACAAGTTTGCAAAAACAATAATGGTGTATTACCACAGTTCACTCTTGTGTTACAATGGAACAGAGACAGCTGAATACACTGAAAAGCGACAACACTACACTAGTTCACACTACAATCAGTGTTGCTGAATCGTTATCTCGCTGCACCAGAACTGACACAAAGCGCAACTCACGAAACCTAAGACACAAAGCATGCCATTTTCAAACTCTCACAAATTATTTTCAATATTTTGCATTAAAATCTCGCGACCCCAAGATTTTGCTAAGCGACCCCAAATGGGGTCGCGACCCATAGTTTAAGAAGCCCTGATTTATAATAATTGATCTCATAAGGAATACAAACAACAAGATTTTATACAGATTTTATAAATAGAAATGTTGATTATAAATTGTAACTTAAATTTCTTACAATTTAGTTTTCAATTAGACTTATTTTCAAAATATGTATACTCAAGTATTATTTAAACTGTAGTTGCTTAAAAGTTATAATTTATAAAATTCTACTCTGTTCTTGGCATTTTGCCAGGTTATTCTAAATCAGAAGCATTCCCCTCATCAAAATTTATAAAAAGTAATGTTGCTGCCAACAATAATTAAAATGTATTTATTTTGAAATAAAGAATTTTAACAAAAATCAATGACTTGTATTGAATAAATGGTAATTATTATTATTTTCTTTAATAAATTTAATTCAAAAGATTTTTAAGTGAATGCATGCATATTCTGTATTATTTTAATATAAATCAATATTTTTTTCTGTACATATATTCTTACATATGTGTTAATATTTCTTTAATACGTACAGTAAGTCACAAAAGTTTACATGCATCTTTCAGAAAAGTAAGTTTTAAAAAACTTTTTGTTTTTTAAAGTTTATAAATAATATTTGTGTTGCACTAATACATTAAGTACATAAGGATGTATTTTTATGTGAGAAATGAAAAAACAAGTTAGATAAGCTATAAGAAATACAATTCTAATGAAAATACATGTCATAAAAAACTACATACAATGTTTAAAGAATTAGAAATGTTCATGTCTAATGAATTTTGAAATTAAATTAATAATGTGGATTCTCTAAAATTTAGAGAATCCACAGTCAATGATGCATTTAGAGTCTAAATGCATCAGTGACTGTTTGCAATCTGTTTGGCATTCATAACACAAGATTTTGTGTTGTATCTGGTTTAATTTTGGTTGTGCTTGTAGTAATGTCATTTCAACAGTTTTTGATTTGTGATGTAGTGCCTTTGAACTATTTATTTGAGTTTATCCAGATATGTTCAATTAGATTTAAATCTGGTGACTGAGCAGGTGACTAGAGCTTTTTGGTATTTTATGAAGTAGCCATTCCTCAGTGATCTTGGCTGTGTATTTAGGATTATTATTCTGCTGAAAGATCCATTATTTTCCAGATCTTAAGCTATTGACATATGTCTACAAATTAGCCTGAAATATTTTCAAGTATTACAGACAGTCTATTTGCACCTTCAATAAGTACCGATTTCCTTATTCCAGCTGTTGCAATTTATTCCTAAACCATTACATTTCCTCTATCGTGCTTTACTGTGGAAACTAATCTTTTAGATTTGGTGAAATAAAACTGGAGACATAAGTCTTCAGTTTTATTTCACCAAATCTTTTCACAATTATCAGATCCAAAAATATTATACTTGATTTCATCAGCAAACAAAATGATTTTCCAAAAATCAGTCTTTGTTGATGTATGATTTGACAAAGTCGAGTCTGCTGATTTGTAATGGAAATTAAAGGCTTCAAGGAACTCTACCATTATATCCTGCAGATTGAAGAATTCTTTGTACAGTCTTAGGATTGTTGCAATATCTCTTGCTAATTTTGAAACAGAATTTTTTCGATTACACAACTTTTCAAGTATCTCAATCACTTAATATTCTGGGCAGCCACATTAATCTTTGTTGAACAATTTCTGGTTGTCTGAAATTATCTTATATTGGTTTGGACTGTTGAATGGCATTTTCTAGCAATTTTTGAAATTTCACCATAAGATTTATTTTCCTTTCATAACTTAATAATCAAATTTCTCATGTTTATAGAAATATTTTTTTCATGAAACCATGTTCACAATTACAAGTAATAGGAAAGTCGATACAATTCTTTAAAACAAATACAAAAAAATGAAATGAATTATTGGGTTGTTCGGAAAGTAATTTCGTTTTTTTTTTTACCACTAGACGGATTAATCATATTTTTTCCTTCATTTTCATTCTAAACCATATTATCATTATATATTTTGACAGCTAGCATTTTAAGGCTTATTTGTAAAAAATTTTGTTTGATTTTGTGCAATTGTTTATTTTTTGTGTCCCATCAAATATGGAAGATCGAAAGCAGCATTTTCGGCATATTTTGCTCTTTTATTACCGTAAAGGTAAGAATGCTGTTTGAGCGAGAAAAAAATTGCGTGACGTGTTTGGAGAAGATGTATTGACAGAACAACAGTGCCAAAACTGGTTTACAAAATTTCTTTCTGGCAATTTCAATATTGAAGATGCACCATGTTCTGGATGGCCAGTTGAAGGCAATGAAAGCAAAATAAAGGTACCGATTGAAGCAAACTGCCAAATAACAACACGTGAAATCACTAAGAGATTAAATTTGTCAAATTGAATCGTTTATGATTACTTGAAACAAATTGGTTTTTGTTTCAAAGCAAATTGGTTTTTGTTTCAAAGCTCGATATATGGGTTCCACATGTTCTTAAAGAGATGCTCTCTTTGATGGGATTTTAAGAAAATATTTTTTTTGAGCATTTACCAGACAATTTAACAATTGATTTGAAAGTGTACTGCCATCAAGTAAACAAATTGAGTAATATCATCAAACAGAGAAGGCGGCCAGCATTGATCAACAAAACAGGTGTAGTGTTCTATCATGATAATGTCAAATTTCACCAAGTTTGGTGACTCGTCAGAAACTGTTATAACTTAGATAGGACGTGCTATCACACCAACCATATTCGCCAGATCGAGCGCACTCAGATTATTACTTGTTATGGTCTATACAAATTTTTTTTAACTGTAAGACGTTTACTTGAAATGACAATGTCAAAAATCACTTGGATCAGTTTTTTGTAAGCAACGATCAAAACTTTTATGAATGTGAAATCATGCTACTACCAGAAACGATGACAACAGGTATTTGACCAAAATGGTCAATATATAATTCAATAAAATATTTATTTATTATAAAAATATTGTGTTTTTTTCCCATGGAAAAAAAAAACAAAATTACTTTCCAAACAACCCAATAGAAGTGTTTAACGGAAAATCATATGCTATACGTGGATTTTTTGACATACATTTTGGAAAAATTTTATATTTTTTTCCAAATTTCTATTGTTTCAATTATGTATTTTATTAAAATATCACTGTAGCATGTAAAATACAATGTTAACAAAGTGTTATCTAAAACTTATATAATTTTTTAAATATTTTCATTTTAAAGATTGTATGTAAACTGACTGTAGTAGTACATACTGTAATTTTTTTTAATTTCATTTCTTTGGGTATTTAAAAAGTTTTTTAATGAATTAAATAAATGAAGTTTTGATAAAGTTATTTGTTGTATGTAATGTGTTTAATGTTGTTTGAATTAAAATATAGAAATTTTAAATAATATAAACTGTTATCATTACAAAAATTAGATTTTATTTTCAAAATTAGTTTATATTTTTCTCATGTACTGAATAGTTTTATGAAATATGATAGAGAATAAATATTTTTAAATTGTTTAAAATGTATGTAAAGTACATGTATTAATTTAATGACCTTGCTGATAATAAGACTATTAATTCAATTAATTTCTAAATTAATATGATTATTTGAGATCTTATTGTCATCCTTATTGGTGAAATAGAATTACATAATTTTTTCTGAAAATATAATTCTATGTGTGTGTATGTGTATAGAAAAAAAAATGACTATTTTAAGCAAAATTCAATTATCTGGATATCTGCATAACCCAAGATCTCAATTGATTTGGCAATTGGAGTTTTATGATAATCAAATTTCAAGTATGCATTAAAAATTTGTTTAAATACTATAGTTAATGTAACATAATTTAATTAAGAAATAATTAAATTCTTTAAAAATTGTCTTTCTAAAAAGTATTAAATTGCTTTCTGAATAGGTCAGANAGGGAGCAAGCCAAATCCCAACGGGAGCTCTGTACTTCAGATATACTAATAATTTATTCTAATAATACTAATATATTACAAAAATAGCAGATTGTCATTGGCAATGGCAAAAGAGTGGAAACATCATTCGCACTTGTTCGCAGAGCAAGTGCGAATGATGTTTCCACTCTTTTGTAAACTCATGTAACTGCCAAACGGAAAGTCCATTGTTTGCAGTGTCCGTTATTTGAGGCGTACATTATACAAGGCACCACTGTAGTTTATATCAACTGTAATCAATAAGACTGTAATATGGACAATATTTTATCAATAGTGGCTTTTGAATAATAATTAAAATGTGTACAATGCAAATTTTGTTTATACATTAAGTACTGTTATAACCTTTGCCAACTCAAATTTAAGTTGTCAATTGTAAAAACAGACTGAACCACTTTTCAATCAGGTCAGGCATAATGATAAATAATTGGTGAATAGTAGTTATTAATTGTTAACTGTTATCTCATTCTCTTTTCTATGATTTATTTCCTTTAATTATATCAATAGTTTGATATATCTAAGAATATTCTAAAATTACAGTGTTATATGTGTTCAAAGCTCTATTTATATTGATAAGATGTACCAGATTATTTAAGGTCTATAACTGTGCTAATTATTAAACAAGTAAAACAGCAAGGCCATTTTTGGGATGAGACTATGTCTTGGAGACTCAGGGCTCAACTTAACACCATTTTGTAAGGAAAGAAAAATGAGCACCATGAGGAAATGAGACAATGAGGAAAAACTGACAC